ATTCATTCTTATTTTGAGAGTAAAAGTAATTTAAAATTTCAATTAATATGACTTTTTTAAAAACTATTTTTTCCAATAATTTATTGTCCATAATGAATTTTATATTGTGAATTGAGGTTGTTCATCCATATGCTTTCATGGACCCTCATAAATTTTTCCATTTTTCCATTTGAAGTAAAAGCAAATGCTTCCTTAAACCTGAATCTATTGCATCTGGTAGCGGTTCCTTAATTATTTTAATGTTGGAAACATTTCAACAGGATTAAATGGCATGTCTTTCTTTTTATTATAACTGTTTTGCTTCTCTTAAAGCATTTTTTTATAGATAATAAATGTTATCCAAGCGTGTTTTTTAACTACTCCACTAATGTCAATGTAAAAGTCACTTTTTGATATTTCTGTGGTACCAGCCATATAATGGGATCAGCCACAGTGACACTCTGTTCTGGCGGTAAATTAATGACAAATTTTGCACTATTCTGGCACTTGTGTCTTTAGTATCATAGCTTCTTCATAAGTCAATCTGGAATTAATATTTTTTTCATGTTATTATTATTTCTTACTATGTTTTCTTTGAAATAACATAATTAACCATCAGTAAGCCAGGACCCTTTGAACAATAGTCTTCTGTCTCCCTCCACATTGAAGAGTGACATTATGAGGTTGCTTACTGCTTTCCTGGAGTATTATTTCCTTTGTGGTCCTTCCTATGTCTAGGAAGAAATCTTCTTTGGCCTTTTAATTTTTTTAGGATTGTGAAGAAGAAACATTTTTCTAACATAAGTTTTACCCAGGGGGGTCGTTTTTTCTTAAATCTGTTTTCTTAGGTCTCTTAAACTAAAAATAAATCTGGTGTCTTTGATGTAAGTCAAAGTAGTTGTTCTACCTGGGTAGGATAAATGAGTGCTGCTTTGGCTGGCTTTCTGATAAAGAGGATGTTAAATGTTTAACCAAGTGATTTTGTTTTGTGCTGACAGTCACTATAAGGCCATAGCAAAAGAGCAAAATATGAAAGACAATTATAGATTTAAAGTACAAAATCTAGCTTATTATTCTGTATTTAATTTCAGTCATTTTTTATTCAAACTATCTTACTTATGCTCAGTTGGGGTTTGCCACAGACCCTCTTACCAGCTTTCTCTCTATTCTACCTTTGCAATGATGTCTGATCACCAGAACATTTTTATGGGCCCTAAACCCACACAATTCAGGCTTTAGATGACTGAGCTTTGAATGCAAGAGCCTGAGGATGTGGATATTTGCTGTACTGTGATCAGGACTTGGTTACATGGGTATACACAACTAGGGAGCTTGTTGTGTTTCTTGCTCGTCCATCCCATAGGTCTTCCTACTTTCAGTGGAAGGAAAGTGCACATCAGTGCCAGGTCTTCCTACTTCATTCTTTCATGTAAAAAGAAATGAAAAGTTTAAAAAGCCTTTAAAAGTTTTGGGTTGATTTTTCTTTGAAAATAAGTGTCGATTTGACTTTATTTGGCTTTTATCACTTACCTGGTGAAAGTATATAAAAAGTAAACATTCTTCAAACACACACGTATGTGTGCAGTTGTGTGTCTTGCACATATTTTTTTGTAGTTTGACAGCTTTTCTTTAAATTGAACAAATGATACTGCTTAGCTGTCACTACAGATATTAACAGGGAAGGGAATGATGCTGAATTTAGAGAGCAACTAAACGTTTTGTTATAAGAAAACTTTCCACACAATGAACACGCTAATAGAATGAGGTCTCCACTCTTCAGAGAAGAAAATTGAGCAAGTGGAAGAAGTTTTAGAAGAAACAAATCTCTCCTTAAGAAAAAGGGATCTTCAGAGATTCCATTTTTGGCATCAGAGAGGGGGACCAGTCTTACACCCAGTATTTCTGGGAGATGAAAGAGTTTAAGACTCAGATTCCTGTTTATGCTAAAATGACCAGGCTGTGAGAGAAATAATGTTCTACAGATGTGATGACATTGGATAGAATGATTTATGTCATTAAAAAAATATACAAAATAGATGTGAAGAGACCTGGTAGACTTTGTTTTTGACCACTTACACTTGTAGCATGTAATTTGGGATAGCAACACTGCAGACAAAAGATAAGCAAACCTTTACAAAAGATCTGCTGTCCAGCATTGAAAGTCAGTGTAGAAAACTCTGCTATATAAAATAACACACAGAAAACAGAGGCTTGAAAAATAGAATCAATAATGTGATTTTCCTGTAGTCATTGTATTATAACGGAAATCGAATATTTGAGGAAGATTGTGTTCCTCAGATATTACTAAAAAATAGGTGAGGAATGTATTACATGTTGTCAGTGTTGTTCTTTTCTAAACTGTAAATTTGAAAAGCAGATTTACAGAGCAGTTCTGAAAGAACAGAAGATAGATACAATTCTTGAAACCAAATGAACATACAAAACAACAAGAACAACAAAAAACCCCCAAACAAAACCCAAAAAAAGCCCCTAGAGAAATGCAAGACACATGTCCAGTTTCTATATATCCATCAGGCGAGATTTTGTTCTCTGATAGCATGGATTTTGAATAAATTCTGTGTGCAGTAACAAGTGCTGCTGTCTTTGTTCCCACGAGTGCATATTTTTAATGCACTTGAACTTGCAGTTTCCTGTCGTAGGTATCAAAAGCCTATGTGCTATTTACCACAGAACACAACCTGTCTGAGATATGCAAAAGGAGGGCCTTTGATGGTCCTCCCCTGCCAGGATCTCTAGTGGGACTGATGGTCATTTCCAGGGGTCCCTCACCAGGTGGGAGGTTTATCAGCACCATCACAGCTGTCAGAGGGTAAAATGGGAATCCTTGAAGCCCATTACAGGAAGGGAAGAGAGGAAGATGTAGAGATTTACAGCTAAAAACCCAGTTAATTATAGCTACGTGATCATTCAGAAAATACCTTTGAAGAGTATCTTTTAGGCTTCCAAGAACACAGGTTGCTGGTGGAATATAGGCCAAATGCCTTGAGAAACCACTTTCTTGGCTTTCTGAATTTCGTACACATCCCTGCTTTGGTAGATGCTGAAGCCTTTTCTGGGGTTTGCTTATAGTAAAGAGTGATTTGTTTGTTCTTTTCTCTTTTGTGCCACCATTACCAGATTAGGTAAACAGCCAGCTGGAGTATTACAATGGAGATATGGAAGTCTTGCTCTGATCTGGTTTCATACAATGATATTAAAGTGCAAGATATTTTTATGAACATGCTAGTTTAATAAGTCGTGTGAGCTAAATCAATGACTGATTCTAACAGTAGAGTGTGGCTTCTGTTTGAATAACTCCTGTAATAGGAGTTGCTTCATACTATAGTTCAGATTTTAATGACATTTTTTACTAGGATATCAATTGCTGTTTGGGGCTACATGAATCATTGACTGTTACTCTGAACTGGCCAAGGAGATGGCAAAGGAGAAAGTGGACACAAACTCACACTAGTGGAATGCCCTTAAAAAATAAAATAGTATTTTCAAAGGAGTCACTATATAGGCTCATTTAAAACTTACCAAAGAGGAACATTTCTACTCTGTTTTAACTCGGAAGCAAATGAATTTGTGGATCTTTGATTGCCTTGATGCAGATAAAAGGGAAGATGGGAAAAGAGTGGATTGTGGCAAGTAGCTTACAGAAAATCCAGGAACCATAATTTTAATCTTTGTTTCCCTGATTTCTACCCACTGGGGGATAACCCACCCATTTGATTTATTCTCATGTGTAAGCAACTGTAAGGGACTTCAGAAACCTATGGTTTATACCAAAGCACGGTGAATTAAAATCATCTTATTTGCTCAACTGAGGAATCCAATATTATATAACATCTAACAGAGTCTTACAAACTTACAGTTGAATTTAAAATTGAACTTACACAGAAATTGAAAGTATGTAGAGGGATGAACTAATACTGTGTCAGAGCTTCAGTCATTTGCTAGGGGAGCTTGGTGAATTGGTTCACAGAAAGAAATATATACAGGAGTTCAGCTCACTGTTTTGCTTTGATCTGACCTAAAGAAGGATCTGAAAAAAAAAAAAAAAAGAGAATTCTACATTCATGACTAGTCATGTATTTACTTTAGATGTTCCAGCCCATCTGTTCTATCGTTCACTAGGGACTTAAAAACTTGCTGCTTAAATATATTAAGAAACCAATGATTACTTTAACCAAGAAAATTATTATTATTTTTACTTTATTGAACCCCTATCCAGAGATGTTTCTTTCTTCTTGTGTTAAGTAAAGTGATTTACATTCACTGTATGCCCCGTGTGCTGGCATTGGTTTCTATCCCAATTAAGTCTGATGCTTAAGGACCACTGCATGGGTGTGTGTTAAAATAAAACAATATTTATCCCAAAACTGAGATAATAGGAGATACTTGTGAATCTTCTTACCTGTGAAGAAAAGAGGGAAGTCTTTAAATTCAGAGCATGCCTTTGTTTACAGGACTAACATAGCTCTTAGAAAGGCTTTGTTTATTTGGAAGGGAAATTGGTTTTATTTACATGTTTATATCAGCAAAACTACAAAGTTACAATTTTGGTGACTGTGATGACGAGGAAACATCACTTAGTGATGAAACATCACAGACACTCATACTGTGCCTGTCTTGTTACACGAATGTATGGAACCAGCACATTCAATCCTCCTACAAAACATACATAAAATCTCATCATCTAAAGCAATAGATTTCATTTATAATTAATAACTTGTTACACAAACTTTACTTATACTTAAAGTTGGCTATGTTATCCTATGCATTCCTATTAAAAAAGGAAGATATTTTAGCAAAGTTTGAAGTAGATGAGGTACTGCTGGGAGCGAAGAGTGTTAGAAATACATTAAGATGTTGGAGGTCTACAGACAACCTGTGACCTAAGGAAATACCACCAAGGAATAATTACAAGGTCTGGATTTGTTTGTTGGCTTGGGGTTTTGTCCTACCTAGAAATTCAGTTTAGTTTAGATTGTGTTGTGTTCATGCTGTATTTACAGGCCAAGAAAGGAAATTACGCTTTCCTGTGGGATGTGACAGTGGTGGAATATGCTGCGCTGACAGATGATGAATGCTCTGTGACAGTCATTGGAAACAGCATCAGCAGCAAAGGATATGGGATAGCACTTCAGCATGGAAGTCCCTACAGAGATCTTTTCTCCCAGAGGTAAACTGAAACAAAGCTCGTTTTACAGGATTCCTCTCTACAGCCAGCAACCATTTGTGGTTCACATTAATTTTGGAATTTAATTGATAAAGGACAACGAATACATGACAGCAGAGAGGTTGAGTTCAGGCTCAACAAAGCTGCTACTTCTGCTCCACGTGCATCTGGTTTTGGAGGAGGGAACAGAGGTGATGTGTTGATCTGTGGCCTCACACCTTCAAGCAGTGCTGCCTCTGGCACAAAGGACTGATGTCCTCAGAGCTTTGTGTGAGGTAGAGGAGAGATTGAAGAGAGATCCTTGATTCATGCTGCATTTTGCAGGCTCTGAAGCAATGTGTTGCTCCCTGCAGTAAGCAAGCAGTAATGCCCTGGTTTATCCTTTAGGGTGGAGAGGCAGGTTGAAGACTCACAATGGCACAGGGAAACAAGATTTACCAAGTATTGCATGGGACTGCCAAGACCACGAGGCTATAAAACCATGCCATTTAGTGATCTCTGAGCTATCAACTAGGAATGTGTTTTTCATGTGAATGTGTACACTGAAATGAAGACATGCAGTGGTGCAGGCAGAAGGTGAGCTGGTGCTCCGCTCCAGGCAAGGAACTGAAGCAAGATTTCCTCATTTTGCTCCTTCTTTATAAAAAGGAGCAAAACTCCAGCTGCCTAACTAGAGACAAAGCTGCCTCAAGAGAACAGATTGTTAGTAAACAGCTAAAACAGTTATCAAACCAAATCCAAAATGAATCATTCATGCAGAGAAGGGACACTTCACAAGAGACAAAACAATGATTAATTAGCAACTGTTAACACAGTAATTCAGGCATTATGTAACAGCACTGAAGTAAAATCCTTTTGAATAAAGTACTTTTGCTGAAGTAAATGAGTTGGTCGCTGCTTAAACAGATTTGTATTAAGTGGTGCACAAACAGTAGCATGTTTAGCCTCCTATGATTTTGAAATTATTGTGGAAGAGCAGCAGTGGAGTGGGTTGAGCATTTCACTAGTGGGACCAGCTGTTGCAGCTGAATGTAGCCAGACCAGGCATGACTAACTGGTGATTTCCCATGGAAATGCTGTTTGCATTGCAGTGGAATTTTTGACAGTCTCTTTTTTTTCTGAAGTTACCCAGTGGAGTTTACCTGCTGCTGTGAGTAGAAAGAAGTCTTGGTGTAGTGGAGTCTCAGATGAAAAATAAAGCACTGTGGTGGTGGTGGGGTGGAGTTTTGAGCTGTGGGATGATAGGTTTAAGAGTTGTACAGCATAAGGAAAAGACAAAAAACCTGCAAAAAAGTATCATTGAAAATAATGCTTGTCTCTTGCAATTTCTGCAGGATCCTAGAGTTGCAAGAAAGTGGAGATTTGGATGTTCTTAAACAGAAATGGTGGCCACGGATGGGACGTTGTGACCTGAATAGCCATACCAATGCACAGACAGATGGGAAGGCACTCAAGCTTCACAGTTTTGCAGGCGTTTTCTGCATTTTAGCAATAGGCCTTCTTCTTGCTTGCTTGGTGGCAGCATTGGAGTTGTGGTGGAACAGCAACCGTTGTCATCAAGAAACACCGAAAGAGGTCCATAACTTTTATTCTTATCACAATTAAAAGTAGAAAACACAAAAGAAAGAGAGAGCGAGCGAAAGTTGTGGGATTTTAGGTGCTCTCATGCAATAAATTTGATTTATATTGATTCGCCATACTAAGCTTTGCATATAACTTTTTGGGTGGTTGTTTCTAAGCAAATAAAAGAACAAACAAATGTGTCTTTTGTGCACGTGGAAGGTGCCAAACTGACGGCCCTGGAGACTAAATTCCTCTATTTATTTGTAGAGCAGATACAGCATGGGCAGCAGCAGTGCAAACTTCCCCTCATTGCCCCACCAATGTGCCTCAACCCTGACCTGGAGAGACCACCTTTAGGGGTAAGAGAGTAGTTCAGAAACACGCCCTTGGCCACTCTGCTGTGAGTGACAGGGAGGCCAGTCACAGGCACCCAGTTGTGCCATCTGTGGTAATGTTTTCCCTGATCTGAGCCCCCACCCACTGGCTGTGAGAACGATGTCCATCCTGTGCAGGCTGTGCAGCTGCCAGCCATCTGGTAGCTTCTTTCCTTCACGGCTGACCTAGGCTGAGTTTGGAGAGGTACATGAGCAATTAAAAATAAACCAGCTAGTTAAAAATTGAATAAGCCATATTGTCATGACACTGTTTAAACGCTTCTCTCCTTTTGAATTCAGTTTTATTTCTAAAACTAGGAGCCTCTGAGAAAACTGACCTTCATATAACATGTTTTACCTAGTAAAATACCTCTGAGAATTTTCTTGGGTTTGAAGTTTTCATGTGCAGTAGTAATAGTTAGCAATGCTATGATAGAATAATCAGTCCATGCTCAGCTCTGTCTTGCATGAAGCCTGTTATTTGTTTACTTATACTAAATGTTTAACAAACTAACCTCTTGTTCTTTTGGAGACATTGAGGCATTTGTAGGTGCTTTCATCTTGGAACAGATGTTTGTTACAAGCAAATAATAGCAGTGAGCTGCACTACAGCTGGAAAATAGTATGTAACCGATCAGTTCTAACCTATGTTTCTCAAGCTGCAGTAGTACTAGACTAACTGACATACCTATCACCTGTAAGCAATTTTGGCAAATTGGCAACCTGATCTAGTGGATGGCATCCCTTCCCATGGCAGAGGGGTTAGAACTAGAGGATCTTCAAGGTCCCTTCCAACCCAAACTGTTCTATGATCCCATGATTTTGCCCTGCTGCTGTGTAAAGTCGCTCCTGCTGTAACCCCAAAGGTCCGCCCACCTCAGCATTGTGAAGGCCTAAAGCCCAGAGGTTGGGGGTTCACTGCCCACTGTGAAAGCCTGTCAGGGCAAGGGACAGGGGTGTTGTCTGAAGTGTCCTACTGCTGCGTGTGCACAAGCACAAATCTGGCCAGACTATGCAGTGAGTTCCCCTCTCTATGCTCAGGGACTCACCTTGGTGTATCTTTGTAGACTGAGATGAAAATATGACTCAATGGCAGTTTCATATAAGGTGAAATAATTCGCTTTTTCATTGCAAGGAGTTTTAAATACTCGTTTGCCATTGCTGAAAAAGGATCTGTCTTGCCAAGTTTAAATATTGTCTTTTTTGCCTTTCCCCTTTATTTCTCTTTTTATAACCATTAAAAGGAGTACTACATACCCCTGCCTATTCCATCCCATCCCATCTCTTCTCCCTTTTTCATCCTTCTCCCCCTTCCCTCCAGTGCATTCTTGATCAGGGTTGCTCTGTACATCTGTACTGCTCTTTTGCAGTTTCTGTGACAAACAATAGAATGCTTCTAAGCTTCTGTGTTTTAAAGTCTACTGAAGTTACCCACATGGTACAGCTGTGCTTGGGAAAATCACTGTGTGTGGGGCTGGCTCTGCCTTTGGAGCACAAGCAGGCTGGGTTAAGGAGGCAAATTAAACTCAGATACAGCACGTGGACAGATTCTGGAAAGATCAGTGATGTGGGTGCTGCTGAGAGAGAGGGAACAGAGTCAGTGGGAGCCCTGGCACAAGTAGGTATTAAGGTTGAATGAGGAAGTGCATGTTCCCAATGAGGGCACAGGGCTGAGCCAAGCTGGTTGGGAGGAAAACATATGGTGGGTGTGCCAGGCAGGCAGGGTGGGGTGGAATGAGAGGTCCCTGACAGGGACAGCTGGGTGCAACAAAAGGCAAGCAGCTAGAGGCACCTTTGGATCCAGCCAGAGGGAAGGGTGACTGCTACCCAGTACCATGGACAGACAGGATGCTTAGGGACTCTCTGCCCAGATGTGAGACAGCCACACAGTTGCAATCTAAGCTCTGATCCCACTGCAGACCAGGGGCTGGGGGTCCTGGTCACAGTGACCACAAGATCCACTCAACTAAATTAGCAAATGAATGTGGCAGATATTTCCTGATAGGTTAAGAGTCAGAGATATTTTATTTATGTGCTACCAGTGAGGAGGGGTCGAAGTGGGATTGCTGATAGCTACTGCAACTAAGATGGGAAACCAAGTTTCAGAAGGGATGGTGTACATGGGTTGAAGGGTTTTGACATGTTAAGAAGGCCTAAGTTTCATAACTTTGGGAAGGATAGGATCCAGGACTGAGGGGAGCATGCAGTCCTGGGTACTCACCTGCTTGAGCCAGGACAAGTGATGTAGGGCACAAGGAGAACTCGATGTCCAGGAGGAGCATGTTCAGGATATCTCATTTTTGCCACTGTTTCTGGCATTTCTACAGCAAGAGCCATAATGACAGAGCTGCAGCACATGTAGCACATACAGAATATTAAGATCCACCTCTTAGCTGTATCCAATACTCCAGCCAAGTCATTAGTTCAGCAACAGCTGCAAACTCAAGTCATGCTGCCGATTTTCTTCTGCTTTTGGGAAGGCTTTGGCAAAACATGAGTGTTGTGATATCACCTAGAAATTGTGGGAACTGGGTTTTCTCCCAGCTACTTTCTTCTGTGAAGTGCAGAGCTTGTGGAGGGTCACAGAAGAGGCTGATTTTCTTGCAGTCTAACATTAGACTTTGGTGTCACCTATGAGGCGAAGGAGAAGGTGTCAACATTTGGCTACTGTGACCCTTAGCCTGTTAGGAGCTTTATAAATCTATTGTACAGAACTGGAGTGGATCAGAACTGAATGAGGAGTTGTCGTGACCCACAGAGCTCTGGTGTAACATTCTCTGTTTGGCATGAGCCACTCAGTAGGCTGCATCATGTCAACAGCTGCCAATTCAAAAAAAAAGAGATGTTGGGAAGAAGGAGGCACAACTGCTATGGCAGACTCACGACAGGGTTGGATGGTATGCATCTTGCTGGAGAGAGAGAGAAAGCATTTTTTTAGAGACTCTTTGTATGTCGAGGGTCTGTGAAGTCTGGGGTTAGAAGAATGTGCACAGCCTTCATTAGCACTGGAGAAATGTTTTCAGCTGACATTAAGGTGTTGGTTTTTTTGCCAGTTCGTTTGTCTTTTCTTTTTCCACTTTGTATTCCTTAGGCTTTTGTGGAGGTTAGGTTGAGCCAGTGCACTGGTGTTCAGGGACTTAGATGTCTGCATGGTACAAATCACAGCTCTTAATTACAATGAGTGTGAAGAATGTAGTGTTAACCGTGTACCTGGGGGGAGCAGGAAACCTGTGTTTTGAAACCTGACAACGCAACTTGGACTTTGACATTAACATGACCTACTTTTGTAGAGCTGTTATAGGAAGAGTTAGGTAAGGTGAAGACTGCCTCCAGTTGTGATATTTTTACATTATTTGCATATGAAGAAACTCTGCCCCACAAAATTAAAAAAAAAGGTAGTATTTTTTCTGCCCATTAAGTCAATTCATTAAGATAAACCTCCAGGAAAGATGAGTTTCCTTTATTTTCCCAAAGACACAGTTGCTATTGATTGACAATTGTGTCATCTGAAGAATAGTGACATTTCTTGCTAGAAGAGTGAAGGCTGGGTTGATCTTCTTTTTCAAGATGTTGATACAAGATATTTTTATTCTATTTGAAACAGATTTATAAAAATGATTCTAAGTATTTCTGCTTTACAAATCTTAATATTATCCTTATTAATTCTTCATTTAATCCTTATCAGATCAGATTAACAAAAGAAAGATTAGTTCCAACATCAGGAAAAAATGTGTATCTGCAACACCATGCCACATTCTTCTATTAGGGATCAAGTTTGCAATCTCAAAGTTGGAAAGATATCTGGTAGGATTAAAGTGCCCTTTTTAATTTCTAATTCAGAGAAACTTACACTTGGTCATCTTTTTCAAAACAGATTTTCTGGAATTTATAATCACCCTCTCCTAATTGTCAATACACAGCCACCCTATACCCACAGCGAAATTTAGCCAGCTCATACATTTGTCTCTGCGTGTTAAAACCTTGAATTTACACAGCTGCTACCCAGCCTGCAACAATTATACCTAATCTTTTAACTTTGATAAGCTTCAGAAAATTGAGGAGTTGTAAAAAAGTAATATTTATTCCAAAGTCTCTGTTCAGTCACTCTGTGTCCCTTTTAAATAACTGAGAAATCAGATAAAGTTATTAAACCCTGGTACCATATAAATGCTGAGCTTTTAATAATTATCTCTGGAGTTCTATATCTTTTTATATGAGTCCTATGCATTTATTTCACAAAATCAGAAAGCCATAATGTAATTTGGATCATTTAACTGCCAAGGGCTTTGCCACATCATCAGATTGTTGGTATCTTTTATTCCATTTGACAGAATGAAAGACAGTTTTCACATCTCCATTGTCATTATGATCAAGTGTAGCTGCTTACTGCAATGGACTCCCCAGCATCCACTGTGCTTTATCAGCTATGTCTTAGTGTGATGTGCTATTGCTCTTGAAGATTATTACTTTTGAGATCTCTTCAGAACTATTAAGGAAGCATTCCTAGTTCATCCACATATTACAAAACAATGGAAACTTTAAAGCAAACATAAAATATCTTACTCTTCATGGAAAGAAAGTTGAATTCCCATATTTTCCACTGTGCATGAGGTGTATTCATTAAAAAGAAATGGTAACACCCATATTAAACAAAATTAATGATTTTTTTTTTCTGGGAACTGAAACCCATTGCATCTCTCATAAAGGTGATATTGATTCACTTATAGTTACCATAGCTCTTGAAAGATGATGTTAGAATGACCTCAAGAAATTCTTGGTTTGATTCTTTCTTTGCTCAGTGATAAATCGGAAATCTATTTTTTCCTAAACCTGCTGTGCTATTCCTAGCAATATGAGTGTTTCAGAAACTGTACGTAGTGCATTTGTGATTCTGTAGCGCAAGAAGATTTTGGATTCTTGTTGGTTAAGAAACAACACAGTTTTCCATCTCCTGAGCTGCTCCTAGTCATTGTCTCCTAACTTGT